AGGAGCCCCTAGTAGCTTCTTGTTACTAGTAGTATGGCCAGGAGCCCGTAGTAGCTTCTTGTTACTAGTACTATGGCCAGGAGCCCCTAGTAGCTTCTTCTTACTAGTTAAGTGTTCCCTGAAAATCTCGGAACCAAATCATTAGTGCGAGCGCTTCTTCAAGGAAGCTCCCCCCGCCCTCAGGTGAGGGGAGCTTCCTTGAAGCGTGAGCTATCCTGCGTCCATATGTAGCTTAAGTAGCTTACTCCCTTAATCAGGAGCAGGATGTAGCAGGATGTAGCAGGCAAGAAAAGGGACCTGTCTTTTCGCTGTGCCTCGGCGTCGACGGTGTAGACCCGATGAGTCCGAGTCAGTCCGAGTCCCGAGTCCCGACCTCGCAGGCGACTGGTAACCTGGATGCGGCAGTGGCTTTGCTTTGCGGTTAAACCTCAAGGCTTTGCTTTCACTTTGGCTTTGCTTTTCAAGTTTTTATAGATCTGTCCAGGCGCAGTTGGACACTTCCTCGCTGGTACAGCATTGCGAGCAATGTGTCAAAAGAGCCAAATGCGCGCTAGAGCCGGAAGTGAACTCAAGCTGATTTGGTATGCTTGTACGTTGGAGGCCATCGCTATTAGGTTGATGCCAAGTTGATTTTTCTTTTGTGCGTGAAGGACTGCCACTGACAGTCACAAGAATCATTCAATGGCTTCAAAACCAGCTTTGGAGCCTAAACTATCTGAGAAGTGCACCGACCAGGAAATCGCAATTGAAAGATGGCAAGACAGTCACAAGTTGTCACAAGACTTCTTTCAAACACCTTTCACAGCACTCCAGGCCGGTAGCTCAAGCAGGGTGATTTTGCCTATGCCGCCGTCGGTAGAACATGGATTGGGTTTGCCATGAACAGGCATCGCTTGGTGTTTTGTGAAGGCCAAATTGGTATGAAACACCCAAATTGCTTGGTGGTGTTTCACATGTTCACCAAACTTTCAAGGCTCAGCAACACGGTCGTGCACGAGATCTGTACGAACCAAGTTGTGGTCACGCTACAGGCTGTTTACATTGGGCCAGAGTGGCCAGATCCGAGCATCGGATTGGGGACACAACCCTTTCATGCATGTGACACAGATAGGAACATAGTGAGCCATTGTGCACTGACAGGTTCCGAGCGTTTTGTGCTTTCTCTAAATCAAATCATGTTTTTTTGTTTGGAGAACAGGGTTTCGTGTGGGAACCTTCGACTCAGCTTCCCAGCTTATGAGCTACGATGATTGGCTGATTTCTTCAGCTTATGTTTTCTACTCCGCTTGTGACTACCTACCTATGACCTATACAACCCCTACCATCATACCTTTATCATACCTACTAGCGATGGCCTCCAACCTACTAGCCATGGCCTCCTTTATCCCCTGTTTGGCCGATTTGCTTTGTTGGAGGCTTGCGTGAAAGAGCTGGTCGAAAACTCCTTGGATGCCAAAGCGACTCGCATCGAGGTGAGACTTCGAGATTCCGGTGCTGAGCTCCTAGAGGCGGTCCAAAAGGGCGAGCAACAAGCGATGTTACTAGTAGTAACAAGTGCCACGCTAGTAGTAACAGGTGCCTTACTAGTAGTAACAAAAAGCTATTAGATTTAAAATTAACTATTAGCTTGATTGTTACTACTAGTAAGGCACTTGTTTCTAGTAGCGTGGCACCTGTTACTAATAGCTTCTTGTTACTACTAGTAAGGCACTTGTTTCTAGTAGCGTGGCACCTGTTACTAATAGCTTCTTGTTACTACTAGTAAGGCACTTGTTTCTAGTAGCGTGGCACCTGTTACTAGTAGCTTCTTGTTACTACTAGTAAGGCACTTGTTTCTAGTAGCTTCTTGTTATTAGAGAAGTCTTGTTTTTAGAGAAGACAACTGCATTCTCTCGACTTTAATGCTGTGCATTGAATTTGCCTTGTTTCTGAGCGCTTGCTTGAACGATTTCTCGGGCAGAAGCAAGTGGAGCCGTGCAGAGAGGTCGTTGACGATGGTTGCGGAATTGCTGCTGAAGATTTCGAGAAGGCAGGAGTGACTGGAGGGCTCTAGGAGAAAGGACGCTACTAGGGGCTCCTGGCCGTACTACTAGGAGCAAGGACGCTACTAGGAACAAAGGGGCTTGTTTTTCGCACCTTTGTAGGTGGCTTCGAGGCATGCAACATCAAAAATCCGCCAATACAATGATCTCAGTGACCCGGACTGTACACTGCAACTTCCATGAACACAGCAGAAAGAAATAGAAGTAAAAGACTAATTAGAAGCAAAAGGAACCTAATAGCAATGGGGCAATAGGTTTGTTTCTTGTTTCCTTGTGGTGGATGCAAGGAGTTTGGTTCTCTTCAGCTTGACGCTTTTGACCGAGGCTCTGGTGACTTCTCGACCTTCGGCTTTCGCGGAGAGGCACTGAGCGCCATCAGTGCCATGGGGGACCTGACGATCGCCACGAAGACGAAAGCTTCGGCCGCGCCCCGACGAAAAAGATGATTCGTCGGAGCGAACGGAGCTGGGCTTCCTTGTTACTACTAGTAAGGCACCTGTTACTAGTAGCGTGGCACCTGTTACTAGTAGCTTCTTGTTACTCTTTAACATGAAACACCCTGCAACTGCATAAAATTCATCATGGCCACTCTGGAAGACCCGATGATGATCGCAGCTAGCTGCCTCCTATCCAGAGTTTGATGGCGGATGTTTGGAGAGCAAGCTTTGTGTACCTTTTGGGGCAAAACATTGGATTCTGTGCCGAACTGGCAAAGACGAACGACTTTGGCTGTTGGACTTCGATGATTTGCTCCTTTCTTGAGAAACTAAAGGCGATGCACTTGTTACTAATAGCTTCTTGTTACTACTAGTAAGGCACTTGTTACTAGAAGCGATGCACTTGTTACTAGAAGCCTCTGGACTTTGGGTCTCTGAAGAACGTCTCTGAAATGTCGATGTGGATGCCGCAATTGAGGCATCACTGCTCTGCTACGAGACTTGGTGCAATCTGGATGAGCCATGCTATGCCATGCAGAAAAGCAGAGGTTTGTTTTATTGAGAGCAGCTTTGGCAAGATAGACACTGATAAATGCTTCTAACTTTCATGAACCTGGTAGAGTGGACTTTGTTCCTAGTAGCGATGCACTAGCTACTAGTAGCGATGCCTTTGTTACTAGTAGCAAGAATGCTACTAGTAGTAATGCCCTTGTTACTAGTAGCGATGCCCTGTTCAAGCCTCAACCAGCAACACTTATACTCTCGTCCACAAGGACAGATATGGAAAGCTGGCAAGCACTTCGCCCATTGCGCGGGAAGTGGGAACTACGGTGTCAGCGCAGCGCTCGGAAGCACTGTGGTGTGTTTCGTCGCATCACGGCTCACGTTCCATCCTAGTAGCGATGCCCTTTGTTACTAGTAGCTTCTTGCTACCTACTAGTAAGGCACTTGTTACTAAAAGCGATGCACTTGTTACTAGTACATAATCGTTGATGTGCACATCCTAGTTTTCCCTTGGAGTCAAAGTTAGTTTTTACCACAAAGAAGACCTGTATCAAAGCCTTTTCCCAACCTCAGGTGCGGGAGCTCTTTAAGCGCCTGCCTGTGCGGCACAAGGAGTTCATGCGGAATGCCAAGTCGCAGGTGACTTGTGCAAATTGACATGAAGAAGAAAGATACATTCCAGCGAAACAGGGAAAGAGAGGAAGAAAGGAAGGAACAATGAAAGGTCCAAGGTCCAAAGAATGAAACACGACTAACAAAGTCAGATTTAAGCAAACCTGGCACGTTCTTGCAGTAAACACATTGCAAAGGGTGAAAAGAAAGACCCAAGACCACAGGACCACAGGCGTTCTCGGTAGCAACAAGGGTACAGCATTGACCGCCACAAGTAGCTGCAAGGACTACGGAACTCCCAAAGCCTTCCCAAATGCTCACTATAGCCATATCTAGCCACGTAGTAAGCATGTAGTTCTTGATTTCGCTTCAAACTTGATGTCTCATTTGACATTTTGAGCCTAAAGAGGCAGTGGAGTAAAGGAAGTCTGCTTTTGAAATGCCAGAGGAGTATGGACATAGACTTGGCCAGGTCAGCGCTACACTTCGACTCATCCAGTCGTACGCCATCGCACAACCACAGGCGGTGTTGTCAAAAGAATTTGGGAAAAAGACGTGGTCTAATAGCGTCCTTGCTACTAGTAGCTTCTTGTTCCTAGTAGCAATGGCCTCCAACCTACTTGCGATGGCCTCCACCTAATAGCGTCCTTGCTAAAGGTTAGATAGAAACGAAAAAGAATAACAGAAGAAAGGTCCAGTCTCTTTCGAGTGTTCTTGGCGGAACAGTTGCTTTACCGCAGAAGAAAAGATTTTGTTGTAGGCGCAGTTCTGGGTAGTGAGGAACGGCGAGAAGGGAGAAACGGTATAAAACGAGTAGAATTTGACATTCCAGATTGAAAGAATTGCTGAACCACCAAAAAACACCATGTTCTTTTTCATTTTCTTTTCCAGACTTCAGATCTTTTTCTCAAATTGACATTCCAGTAGATTTCTTTTCGAGGAAGTCAAATTCCAAAGTCGAAAAATCCAGGTCCGCTTCAGCGTGATTGCTGAGAAGCTGCGGGGTCCAAGCGCCGGAAAAGCCACACTGCTGTGCACATCAGGCACCAATGGAGCTACTAGGAGCAAGGACGCTACTAGGAACAAAGGGCATGGCTACTAGGAGCAAAGGGCATCGCTACTAGGAGCAAAGGGCATCGCTACTAGGAGCAAAGGCTATCGCTACTAGGAGGAAAGGGCATGGCTACTAGGAGCAAAGGGCATGGCTACTAGGAGCAAAGGGCATCGCTACTAGGAGCCAAGAACATCGCTGCTAGGAGCAAAGGGCATCGCTACTAGGAGCAAAGGGCACGGCTACTAGGAGCAGAGGGCATTGCTACTAGGAGCAAAGGGCATCGCTACTGGGAGCAAAGGGCATCGCTACTAGGAACAAAGGGAATTGATACTAGGAACAAAGAGCATCGCTACTAGGAACAAAGGGCATCGCAACTAGGAGCAAAGGGCATCGCTACTAGGAGCAGAGGGCATCGCTACTGGAAGCAAAGGGCATCGCTACTAGGAGCAAAGGGCATCGCTACTAGGAACAAAGGGCATGGCTACTAGGAGCAAAGGGCATCGCTACTAGGAGCAAAGGGCATCGCTACTAGGAACAAAGGGCATCGCTACTAGGAGGAAAGGTCATCGCTACTAGGAGCAAAGGGCATGGCTACTGGGCATGGCTACTAGAAGCAAAGGGCATGGCTACTAGGAGCAAAGGCTATCGCTACTAGGAGGAAAGGGCATGGCTACTAGGAGCAAAGGGCATGGCTACTAGGAGCAAAGGCTATCGCTACTAGGAGCAAAGGGCATCGCTACTAGGAGCAAAGGGCATC